TACGTGAGACCTCGGTGGCATGGGCAGCCTGCCAATGACGAATCCGAATCTGACACAAACTCGGACTTGTGACCTGAGCAAGAACAGCCTTACGCAACCCTTTCGGACACAGAGGGCACCGCCAGTCCCCGGCAGAGAGCCTCTTGGGCAAGCGCTGAAGGCGAGGCTGCAAGAGGAGCCCCGGTAGGCCCTTGCCGTCGTGCGCAAATTTGCAGTGCTTGTGCCGAACTGAGCTGTAGTGCGTAACACTTTTGCAAACTTTCCTGAAGGGGCAAAACTCACAGTTAAAGGTCAGGTCCTTAGGCGGGGGTGGATACGGGCGGTATGGGCACACTCGCCAGGTAGCCGAGGGCGAACGCTTAGGCGCCTCAGCCTCACATCCCTGCAGATCCTGGCTGTCGGCATCGCTGTGGTCTTGAGCTCGCTCGGCAGCGACCGCATCAACACTAGCGGCAGCCTGAGAGTGACCCTGCGCCCCGGACACCTGGGCGGAGGCACGCACCTGAGGAAACGACGGGACCGCGAAGACCGACGCAGCTTTAGTCTTAGCCGTAAAGACCGAACGGGGCTTAGCCTTTCCGCTGGCACGACACACCTGGGAGCTTGACGCAGCAGTGAAAACCGAAGGCGGTCGACCGACCCCCCCAGCCCTGAGTCCCCCAGTGGGGCCCGCAGTGATTTGCACATACGAATCCGGATATTTCGTGGCACCGTCTTTGGGCAACAAAAGATCTATGTGCAAAGCATCGTACCACAGCACTAACAAGCGTTTGGCCTTGTGATGAAAGCACATCGGATGCCAGTGGGTGCCTGCAGGAATGACAACGAGCTTCAGGTCAAGCACCCTGGCAAGGGCCTTGAACTCCACATCCGTGGCATAGGACGTGGACTGTTCCATGATGGTCAAGTAATCTTCGAAAGTGCCTGAGAAATCGCCCCCGTCAGGGCCTTTGTGATCCCATTCAGCTTCATACGTAGGGGCATGTCGTCTCATGTGGTCGATCGTCTCAGCGCGCAATATCCTGGGATGGACATCACGGTCCTCCTTGAGCCACTGGAGACCTTGACTCACCGCATGAAACAAACATGAGCCATCAGTGGGGACGGTTTTGCGGATGAGGTCATCAGGCAGCGCACGAACCTCCTGTTTGGAACGCTTGGCCTCAGGCACAGGCTTAGCCTCGGTTCCGTCTTCCTTGGGTTCGGCATCCTGCGTGGACCCCTGCTTGCACGGCGCAGTGACGGTCTTGAGCTCAGGGATCTGCGCAACAGGCACTGCTGTGCGAGGAAGTGGCTTGCGACGGACAGCGACGTTGGCAGGGAGAGCCCAGGTGGCCCAGTAGGTGGTGTGGGTTCCGTTGGCACCCTCAGCAACCAGAGGGACGATGTCACGACCTTCTTGGCGGGAGGCTGCCTTGAAACGGAAGTTCTGGCCCAAACGAGAGCGGCGATGTGAAATGATTGTGATTTCCCCGAAGTTGGACTCCAGGAGCTGCTTCACGCTTTCGTCATCCCATTCGAAGGGTAGGCCATCAACTTGCCAGAGCCGCTGCTCCGTCTCACCTGCAGCGAGCTTCTTTCGCCATCCAAGGCGATTGGCATTCGTGACCAGGCCCAGGTCAGAGCCCTGCCGCAACGCTCGCTCATGATAGGCACTGGGGGTCTCCCCACTGGTTCTGTCAATCCACGTAACTTTGCTCTGAACGCCATGCCTGCGGGCCGTATCGATAAAGATTCCCTGAGTGCCGGAAAGCTGCAAGAAAGCTTCAAGGTCGGTCTTACGGACCCGTGCCATTCCACCAAACAGCTCCCCAACGTCCGCTCGACCCTTTTCGATGGCCCAGGAGAACGTATCAAGGACGCGCATGCGGTGCTGACTTGCCCATTGAACAAGCGACCGGTTGGGGTTGGAACCGAAACGCTTCCAAAAGTCAGCTGACGCAAAATTTTTGTATACCTTCATGAACAGGACTGCTGTCTCCGTGGCTGGTTGAATCTTTACGGCTGTGGCGTTGATGCCCTTGGGCTGCGGGACGCCACCGAAGTTCTTATCCGAAGAAAGCTGGATGACCACAGCCTGTCGGAACACAAGCCTGCCATCGACAAGCCCCGGCGTGCGAACGCCGTCCTTTTTGTCAAGGTAGATCAGCAGAAACTTGTAAGGAGAACCCGCACCCCGGATCAGATTGGAAGCAACGTCCTTTTGATCTGGCTTGATGTAAACGACCGCTTCGAGCGTGGTGCCCGGCTTCGCCCCGTCAAGAAAAGTAGCAAGTTTGGAGAACTCGACGATGGGGGCGCTCCAGTCCTCCGCCCTAAGGGCGAATTCGCCATCTTGGTCCCGACGGGATTTGGGACGCACCAACTGCCAACCCGCACCATCTGACACGGGGGGGGCCTGGTTGGGCTTGGGATTGCCCTTGCCTTTACCTCGGCCCCCGGCATCAGGCCGGTGGCCACGTCCTTTGTTTGCATCATCACTTGCGACAACAACCCTGCGGGCGGGCTGAGGCGGCTCATCGCCAGGAGCATTGGTTGCGGCCGCAGCCTTCACCTTCTTTTTCCGCTTACGCNNCGCTTCTTGGGTCCCGGTCCACCTGCGGGCATCGGTACATCACCTTGCGAGTGAGGCCGCGTGGCAGGCATAGCCCCGGCGGCCAATCCCGGGATGTTGAGCTGGCGCAACGCTTGCATCACAGCAGCTTGAACGGCAGCCTCAATCTGGGCCTGGATTTGTTTTGCGAACTCCGGCCCAAGAAAAGACAACTGCGATGTGACACCAGGTCCCGGGTGGGAAGCCTCACCGATTCTGCAACCGTGGAGGTGATTGTGATCAAGCTCATGCATAGCCTCAGTCAGGGCAGACGTGCAGGGGGCACGGTGCGCGGCGATCATAAAGGCATTGAGGCCGAGAGTAGCATGGGCATCCAAGCGAGGGCTG